GCTCCTGAACTTTTTTTCATTCAGTAAATTTTATTTTGTAATTAAAAATCTTTTGAAGAAATGTTGGTCACAAAAAATTCTCTTGCATCTTTTTATGATTACACAAGTATTCAATCCATATAGAAAAATAATTATGTATTCTTTGTGGAAATAACAATTACTTTAAAGTTTACTCAGCGAAAATAGGTTCATGAACGATAATTGGGACAGTGACCTTACCTTTGATAAGGGTTGCGAGAATACCTATTTTCTTTACACATGAAAAAAAATGGCTAAATCGATTATTAAAGAAATAAATAATCAAATCTAAAGCAGAAATTTTCTAATATAATATTGTAAAAGAAAAAACTTCATTTAAGTTTAAATGTTTTAATTTATTACAATTTATCTTCAAATCGAGGAAATAATAATTTCTTCTTTGTTAATAATTAATTTTTAGTGTAAAATGTTAACTACTTGGTGCATTATAATGTTAAATAAAAAATAGTTTAATAGGCTTCACTATAATAGTGGTCTACACCACCTATAAATACTTCGTCCTTCTGATGCTTTAAAATGATCATGTAGTAATCCAAATGTATCTTTTGACGTTAAATACATACATGAATAGTCAATCAGTTTAAAACGACTTCATTAAGTGAACTCTAACATATAATTATCTCAATTATTGAATACTCACCTAATCATCCTCATCATTGGTTGCACGTACAACATTTGACACCTCCATCATCATGTGATATCTTCGTCATCATATGGTTTCTCCAGCAGCAATTGAACTCGAAAATATTTTTTCTTCGCCAATAAAATAGATCTGACTTGAGCAGTGCTTCTTATGTGGTAGAAATTTTTATGACACTATAAAAAAAATAACAAGAATTTCTTCAAGAAAAAAAGCTCGAATCGTTCAATTTTATCCCCTCAAAATGATGGGAAACTCTCAAGGGAATATCGGGTGTTATAAGTAGGATGAGCCAGTTATTCGAATGAGAAAAAAATCGAATAAGCGATAGACACAAATTACTATTTTATCTACCCTTACAATAAAAATAAAAGAAAAACATAAATAAATGGATAAATAAAATTCTTCAACATTAGCATAACATTTACTGGACATTGGTGCAATAAAAACTTCACCTTTTCACTCAATAAAACCAATCTATAATATCCAATTAAATATTTATATTTAACTTTCAGAATGCTTGACATTATTAATAGTCAGAATAAATTCACCTCGTGATTCTAATGTCGAAAATTATTATTTATATCTAAGTATATTTATAATTCCTTCAGACATGTGTGCATTCTACACTGAATATTTATTGCTCAGTTCAATTGCCAGTGTGCAAACCTCTCTAATGAGATTAGATAATATTTACCCCTTCTTTATGTTTTTAAATATTTCTCCAACGTTTGTTGTAGGATTTTGAAGCCATTTTATCCCTATAAATACATGGTGATGCTACTTTTTTTTATATTTTGTATATTAGATTAATACAATGTCATAAATAAAGTGATCAAGAATTTTTATTTATGTCCTGGCCTAGGGTGACAATCGAGGGGAAGTATGATAATAAATAATAAATCGGTAAAATTGGTTATGGTCCATTTGAAAGATAATTTCGATCTGTTTTATTGTGAGATAATCTCTTTTAGGAATAAAAAAAAAAATATGTCACAGTTCTTTTTCAACTTCCGATTCATTGAGGGTGACGTTTATTATAGATGATTGCGTTGCAAAAAAGGTAATAAGATTTTTCGAGGATTTAGGTTCTTACAATATAACAAAAAATACCAACTGTAATTCCAAAGTATCACGATCATTTATAAGGGCTTATATGACTTTTCACTAGTACTTCTGGAAATGTTTTTTGTTCGTTATAAAAAAAATTGTTATAAAGAAATATAGAAGAAAAGGATGAAATGTTTTTTTTATTTTTTTGAAAGATTTCGTGCTCATTTTTCTATGAAATAATCGTAGAATATCATCAATAATGAGCTGAAGTTAGTTAATTGACATTGATTTGATTAATTCATGATGATTTTGAGGTGTGGAGAAGGGAATTCGATTAATCTATTTGAAAGCTAAAAAAGAATAGTTGTCTGCCAATTTAATGGCAAGAAAAGTATCAAGAATATCTAGTTAGACGAATAAATAGTCTTTAGCATGAAATGGGTTAAATGTGATTTAAATGTCATTGCATTTTTTACGTAACGAAAAGATGGTAATTTACACATTTTATGTATCAATCCTAATTTTAGCTGTCATCAATCATGAAACAAATCCAACATAAAAGTGATTTTATAACGATTCATTTCAAAACGTTCTTATAAAAATTAAATAAAGAATTTTTTCATCCAATTTTTACTTCATTAACAGAGTAACGACTGAATGAATTCATTCATGAGGAATGTTGTAAGAAACCATTGAACGAAAGCCTTGAGGACCGCATCAATTGGAGCACAATAATAACAAGATCACCGCAAATATGAATTTTGTCGAAAATTGTCAACGTCTGTCGAGTGAATGTGAAGGGTTAGTGAATTATAAAGGGGGTGGTTTTGTAAAATCCACAGGAACGCATTTTGACACAATAGCAAGACAGGAGAGGAAAAAAAAGGGAGTTGTTATCGATGCAAAATAGCATGGAGGGTTGTAGCAATTAAGAGATAACAAGGTTTCCCCTCGACACCCCCTTCAATTAGTAACACCCGGAATTTACCCCTAGAGTCTTTTAGCCCTCGTCCACCCCCTCAGTACGAAAGTAAAGGAGCTAGAAACCAGCTACACAAATCTAGCATCCACCACCAGATCAATCCACTCTCTTGCTCTCTCCTACTCACCCTATGTTTGCTTGTCAAGTGTTTGCATACCATCACACAGTGTCCACAGGGAATTATAGCAGAAGATTAAGGTGCTGGTGTACGATGAAATAGAGTACACAATACCGGTGAAGGCGAACGTGATGAATATCACAATGATTATTGTACGAGGGTAAAAACAGATATGAATATATGCATGATACTGGGTTATGATACAAAACTATAGAAAACCTACTATCCAAGTATAGAACGTGCTGAAAAGTAGGAAACCAGGTAAAGGACTACATTAAGCAGGTTAGGCGGTCACTCGAGTAGTCGACGAACGTAGGCACCAAGTTGGATCGTTTTAGTCAAGGTGGTTTGAAGACCGAGATAAATTGAGTTACGGAACTATCAACTATTCACTGCGAAATATAGCATGATCTTCCTAAGAATAATAGAGCTTGGTCACATAATTTGGTGATAAAAAATCTTGAATCAATTTGTTTTCATTTTTAGTAGCATAATTTGGACTTAGTTGTGATAATATTTAGCAAGCAATGTTAAATCTTTACCTTAGGATTACTTGGAATATTTAATTGAATTTCTGAATGTTCTAGAGCTCAAAATATTTTATTTTATCATTTCAAATGAATATTTGAAACAAAAGCTGTATTAAATGTAATAGCTCGACTTTTATAAGCTGCTTTTTATAAAGATCTAGATCCATAGATACAATTTCAAGAATTTAAAAACGTTCTTTCATTTCATCTAGAATGATATGATTAATATATGATTAAGTCCTTTTCCAGGAGGAAAGTTAACTACAAAATATACTGGTGGTTTTATAACATAATATTTCTTCCTTAAATAATAACTTTTTTTATCTAAAAGCTTCATAGAAGTTCTTGAAAAGTTTAAAAAAATAATGCAAAACTACGTTAACAAATGTCTAGAAGTTTTTATTATATTCTATTTTAGCTAATCTTAACTTCATTCATTATAAGCGGAAATTTTAATATTAAAACTTTTCTTTAGTTATTTTCATTGTAAACTATTTCAACTTTGATGGATAATATTGGCTCTTCTGAATAATTTGATATAAAAAATATTTTCTTATTCTTCAGAATGACAATTGGCTTCCATCTTCAAATACTAGACTACGATAGCCTTTTTTATTTTATTTTAATACATAGAAACATGAAAAACATCAAAAGAAAATCTATAAACATTTCATATCTTCTGATAATCAAAACTCCAGCAGTCAATCTCCAGACTGAGGTTTGGGACCAAATACTAGGGTTTCTATAATACTTTGGAAAACGTGCGAGATCGTTAGTATTGACTACAAACGGTGCATGTCAATGAGCTCGCGTCTGAAAGGGTGAGAGTACCAGGGGTAGAATAGGTAGAATAGGTGAAGGGCACGAGGGAAAGTCTCCTGGGAATTGGCACAGCCGTTCTAACTGAAGAAAGATACCCTATACTGATGGGGTCGCAGGTTTCAGAGTAAGACTGACTCATGGCGCCTAGGATAATCGAACTCGTTACCTTCAGCTCTGAATTCGTTTCGTGCAAAGAATCGTCATCCATCTAATTCACTTATGTGCTCTGATGTTGTACAGTTGTGAAAGCATGAAGATTGATATAGCTTTCTGTTTTTCTTCTTGGACTTGATTTATTTGTGCAAAATAAATTTATGATCAGAAGTATGTGTCAATGACCAACTAACATTAAACGATTACTGCTTTCCAATGATATTAATTATTTAGAAATAATTTAAAGATCACTTTTTTCTAAATCAATTAATAAATGAATTTATGAATAATTTTTCCAATTGATCAGTTTAATTGCCATAAATTCATTTCTACCTACAGTTTCATAGCCTCTTAGCCTACAGACATTGGACATGAATGCACAGACTTGAAATGGAAAGACGAAAGGTTGAGGGTGGACATATAGGTCGTAGAGTCGGTCTTGTTAGAGCAGGCAAAGGAAACTCTAGTCAACGAACCATGCAACTAGAGGGTCCTTTGCTACCGGACACGCTTCGTTTCTCGATTGATTCTTTATTTTACAATCGACGGCACTAGGATAAGGGTGCGTTACCCGGCAACGCCGAGACAACAAGTTCCCCTTATTTGTCTTTTCAATTATCAAGTACACCAGGGAATGCCAATGTTTATATTGGATTGTTGCAGAAGAACGAGCCTCTACCGAGTCTTCCGGTTCCTATTCTGGAGAATACCATGCAAAAGTACCTGAAACAAGTGGAAGCGGTTTGTCCGAATCATCTAGAGAGATCCAAAGTACTAGTCAATTCATTTCTGTCTGGACCTGGGCCTAAACTTCAACATCATTTGCTAGAACGCCGGCAGAAAATGGTCAACTGGGTAAGTTGTTATGATTATTCCTTTTGAATAGCTTATTTCCTGGAAGATTTTGTAATTTAACAATCTTGAAGTAGAGCAAATGCATTGGTAGCTGACCAGTGAGGATCAATTGATGGTTCAGTCAATGCAATAAGTATTGATACATATATATTTATAATAATAAATGTTATTTAAACTATCATAATGTGCTAAAATTTGAATAAAATTACCAATTTAGTATGCTAGTATGTATTCACAGCTCTAGAAAGTGCAAATATGAGTTCTGGAGCATATGATACTGATAACATATTCCAAAGTGCCAAGACTTCTTTTTAAACAATATTACCTTGACATACCCTAGAGTAACATCTGATCTTAGATTCCCCTAATATTTAATGCATATAAAAAGGCGAGATAACTTATTTTTAACTCCAGTCTCAATTTATTGAATGAAAATTTTTCCATGCCAATCTCTTAACTTTTTGGAGACAGAACCCTCTAGAATACATTGTTTATATCGAATAGTATACCTTAAAGTGAAACAAAATATTTCAAGTTCGATATTATTTCTGATTGACCAACATTCTTAACAAGCTAAAACAAGTGTTTAAAAATTCAATGACATGCCTGTCCATCTGCTTATCTAGACTTCAGCTCAAGTCTCTAGAGATTTAATTGCCTAAAATATCGAAGAAAGTTCTTTTTAATTCCTAACACAAATCTTCTTTGAATGACTGCCACTTGACTGGTTTTTTTTTCAATACTGGATTGTCAATTCAATGTAAAATCATAGCAGGTCTTGTCAAATGCAAAAACGAGCATAAGATAAACAAAAAAAACCAAAGTGGTATGACAGCATTTCTCTTTTAACTTTTCCCTATCTCTTTGGGTGATACCTCTGGAGACTTTATAGTGGAACGTCTGGTAGAGCCTGGTGCTTTCCGTGACTTTTGCAATTCCCCTCACCCTCAGTCCCACGGGATCCATCCCCTTACCCTTTCCAAATCGTCAGACCACCTCTTACTCTACATCCGTTCATATAAGCCATCACCCCCTCGATTTTATACGGCTCTTCTAAACCCCCATAGCACATAAATAAATAAATAAATGGATTTACGACCCGGGACGTAGTAACTTTCAACTTGTAGACCTAAGAAAAGGTCATTTTTCCATTTTTTCTTCATATTCAACCACGATGGAGTTTCTTAACATTAAATAAAAGAAATTTTTTAGCAACAATTCAGGAAGATAGAAAAATAGGATTTGTCAATCTTCATCATACGATTTTCTTACAATTGAAATGCTTAGAAGCTAAAAGAAAATGTTACTGTCACCAGTGAGACTGAAAAGGCACGTAAGAATGAGAGCAAAGAAGAATAAAGAAAATGTATTTTCGAATGTATTCTCAGTAAATCGAAATCTCGTCCTGTGATTGTATCGATCAGAATGTGAAGAGGGTGAGTAGATTGGATAAGGGATGAATTAGCAAAAAAAGCAACAGTATAAAAAAAAACATACTGTCATAAAAGAGGAAATGTGTGAAAGAAATGAAAAAATATTTAATAGAAATAAATGAATATCGAAAAATAATTTAAATTAGAATAAATGTAAAATTGATTTTGATCTGCCCTCCATTTTCCTAAGTTACAATGCATGATGAAAAATTATTGATGACTTCAAAAAGCTTTTTAGATGTCAGAAATTTTAATGTAAAATATGGATGAGATTTTACAGTGCTAAATTTCATCCACGCATCCGAAAAGAGATAGAAAAAGAAATGGGATTTATAACATCACTGTAGGTGGTAGTAAGCTAATATTACGATATCCCGCGGCGTATACTGGAAAATTTCATTGGAACTTCCATTATTCATCTGTATTCTCTACATCCTCTTTCTCTTTCTCTCTTTTTTCTCACTAAACACAGCCTGTTTTTCATCATATTCATGATTACTTGAACTGGTTTGTCGTTTGATCACAGAATTCAATTGTAAATTAACAGGGTGGGATTACACTAGTGTCCTGTAGAAATGGAATGGAAAAAGGAAAGTGAAATGACTTCTATAGCTTGATTAATTTTGTTGCTATGTTAGATGATGGTGATACAACATTAAGAATATTTCTAAATAAATATTATTGTAAATCTATTCAATCATTCAACTCAATAACAATAAATAACAGCAAAAATATTCAATTATTCCACTTTATTCTATTCAACTGTAGGTTAATTTATTTAAAATGGATTATTAATTGCTTAATTTTCACCTCATTACCATCATAAAAGTTTCATTCTTTCTACTATAATTTTATAGTAAGGAACTTAAATTATTCACATAATATAACTTTACTTATTTTAGATTGATACCAAAGTTCAGAATCGTCAAATGTGTAGACCTATAATTACTTGAAAATTTGAATGCTCTTTATCATCAAACAGATCTTTGATCTTAAGAAAATCGTATTTTCTCACCCTCTAGTTATATTTCATTCCCTTGGTGTACTTACGAACCTCATACTGTTTTATCCACTTCAAAACGTTTTCTTTCTTAATTTGTCGCAGAATATAAGCAGACAAGAATCACCCTTGGCCAAATGACAAATATTTTCTTTCTTTTATTCACCCCTTTAAAAGATAAAAATTCTTATCATTATTTTATTAAGATTATTGTTATGACTTTCATTATCATCATGATTTTTTTTGTCAAATTTCATGGAGAAATGACATACATGAGAGGATAAAAAATACCATCTATAACATGGCTTATATTTTGGAATGTATATCGCACAATAGGGTTGAAAAGAAGAGCTAATCTAGGCAATTTAAATGTTTGTCCCCAGAATGGGGGTGACTGCGTAAGGGATGAAAACGACGCATCGTTCGCGTTCATAGTAATCCCTTGTTGAAACAAATGTTAAGCCCTTTGGATTGTATGTGGTATTTCTAACTGATACGCATCCAACAGTCATCTCTTTCCTTGTACCTACTTCCTCTCCCTTGAGACCTATCCTTAATACCCTTCTATATCCGTCTATACCCTTGACACGCGTTCGTTACCATTACATCCACCAGCAATCTTACTCGAACTTACCTTACTCTATCTGATCGCTCCTATCTTACGTTGAATTTTTGTGGAAATAAAATTACCGCAAATGCTCGACTTTTTTTTATTAACATTTTTTAAAAAAATATTAAATAACGGAATGCCGTCAGTACATCCGTTATAGATTTTATTTAAGCTATAGCTTAAATGAAGTATACAAATAGCCCACACAAAAAGGAAATATACTTGAAATACATAGAATTTACGGAAAAACTTTATTGTTGAAATATTTTTAAAAATCTATGCAATAAAAAAATGAAGTAGTAATGTTTGTTATAAACTTTTTAATTTTATTCTGCTAAAAAATACGTAATGTAAAAGAGCTTTTTACTTTTCGAAATCTCTAGAGAATAAATTCCTTCATCTTTTTATATTTTCATTATCACCTTAACTATGTTTTATATTAAAACCAGAGCAATTAAACTTTTATTTCTGGTCGTTAATCTTCCAAGTCGATTTCATGCAATTCTCCGTGTATCCAACGTCTGAGAATATTTCCCTCTTGCCCACTTTCATCCCTAATACAAGGATACGAAAACTCGGACCTTCTCCCTACGGTGCGAAAGAGAAAAGTACCTAATCCCATAACGAAAAGGAAAGCGCTTAGACTGCTCTAGAAATAAGAGAGAAGGGGAATTGCAAGTCGTCAGCAATGGAAACCACCCCTGTAACTTTCTTCGGTCGTCCCTTGAGACGAAAAAAGCTATGGAATGGTTTTTTTTTCATTCTACTATTCCCACTTGCTCCAGTTTATTTCAACAAATGTTGTAGTGTATACTTGTAGATCGAGTCGAAGTTTTTATATTAAAATTAACTATTTTTTTTACAATAATTTCTTTTAGAGAGATTTTTATGAAGGAAAACTTCAATTTTCTTTGATAAAGCTTTAAGTTGATGAAAAAAATTTTTTAATGACGACGAAGTTATAATAAACATTACTAATAATGTAAAAAAATTTCAAGAAAACTTTGTAATTGAAAAGAAAATTTAAAAAAATAATTAAATGAGCTTTTGATAAATAAAGAGACTATTAATAACATTTTTGTTTAAAAAATTAGAAAATTATAACAAAGTTTTCTTTATTTTTTGCATGGATATTTTTTCTTTAAATTTTATATTAATTCGTATATCATATTTTAAAAATGAAGTAATTCAATACACACGTATTATTGATCCCATTATTTTTTACCCCTTCTCAGTTCTACGTTTCGTTCTCTTGTTATTCATTCAAAAGAGGGTCTTACGTAAGTTGCCTCTTTTTAATGAGGCTTTCACCTCATGCGTTAAATGCTCTCTATGTACGGTTTTCTTAAAAACACAACACGAAAAAAAAAAACGAAAATGAGATAAAAAATAAAAGACTACACAGTAAAAGATCTGAAGAGATGATCGACTTGTATTAAGGTCTTTTCAAGTCTCTTTGGAGATTTAAACGACCGAATGAAAAGAATCTTTTTTGTTTCCCACCCGCGCAATTTCTCTTTCAATTTAATAAATAAAATCAATCCTACGCAGTTTGTTATTAACATATTCAACAATTAATAAAAATCAACATAACAAAGTAATAAATAATTTAAAGAAAATGAGAATAAAAATGAGCCGTAGTGAACATATTATTTCAACGTTGAAGATGGCAAATATTTATGATGTCTCGTGAGTTTTATCCGAAAACAAAGTTCTCGTCTTGCGATGTAGTAAGACAACAACATAAAAAAGATACGTGTGCTGGTAAAAGGTAAGAGAGTAAGTGAGGGTTAGTTTTCTCATCCAACAACCCCTCATAGCAGCATCTTTCTTGCTGTCTCTTTTTACCCCGCAGGATTAACCTTTAATTCCATCCAAGCTCAACAAGACCCCACAAAACTCTACTGAAAACTCATAGAACTTGTGCAACTCAAGAAGAAAATCAAATTTTCTGCCT